AAGGTCGGAAGGTCGGAGGGAAAGGGGGAGGAAAAGAGGAAGCCGGGGCAATGTGTTTTGAGTGGGTGGGAAAGGAGGGGATTTCTTCATGTATTATGTCCCGTCCTGAGGGCCCCTTCCCGCTTTAGTAATCCCCGATCCCCAGTCCCCCTCTTCTGCACATGTTGTCCCACTTCCTCTCCCCATTTTCCTCTAGGACGCCTTCTGGCAGGCAGTTCATTTCTGAGTTTCTTGCATCGTGTGATTCCCCCCATTCTCCTCCTGCCGGGGGCCGCTCTTACACCGGCAGTTCACTCCCACTTTCTCGCATATGACACCCACCCCCGGCCTGCCCGTACCGACAGGTCACCCGCACCTCACCACACTTGATCTGGGTCAGAACGGTATTGGCGACTCGGGTGCCGCTGCGCTGGCTGAGGCCCTCAAGCTCAACACACGGCTGCAGAGACTGGACCTGAGCGGGAACGCCATTGACAAGGAGGGGGCGGCGGCGCTGGCGGCGGCAGTAGCCGCGAGCAGCACCTTAGAGGTGGGGGTTGTGGGCGTATGGGGCCTACACCGCTGGGTGGGCTGGGGGGAGCGAGGCAAGCAAGGACAGGCAAGCAAGGCGGGCCAGGGTGATCATTATCATCACCACCATCATCACCATATGCAACACACGCACGCACACACACGTACACATACAACCCTAAAGAACTAAGGGCCGGTGCCCAAACCACCAACTTTTAAAAGCTCTTGCGGGAGAGAGAGAGAGGAAAAGAATCCCGGATGTTCCAAAGTGGGGGTTTCGGTTGGATTGCGTGTCTGTGGCCGTGTCTGCGGCGCCCTATTTCCTCTCCCACAAAAACACGCGCAACAGCAGCAACAACAACAGCAACAGCGACCAACACTCCCACAGCAACTACCAGCAACCACCGCATACCAGTATGCAAGCCTACAAATCTCCTAACCGCCGCCTCTGCACGCAACCGCCTTTCAGGTGCTCGTCCTAACCGACAACTACCTTGGCGAGGCGGGTGCCCTTTCCCTAGCCGATGCCCTCCGCGCCAACAGCAGTCTTCGGGAGCTGCATTTGAAGGGGAACGAGATCGGGGACGCGGGGGTGGCAGCCATATGCGAGGCGCTCATGGTGGGCGGGGCGGGGGTTGGGGGTGAGGTGGGATGGTACGGCGTTCTCCATCTTGGTGAATCTGATGCGGTGGATCTACTATTGGATCTATCTATCTATATATATATGATATGATATGATATGATATTTCCGGGATGGTGGTGAGGTGAAGTGAGCTCCAGGGGGGATTTCCAGGTTCTTTTGGGGTTCTTCGTTAGCCCTCTCCGCTGACCCCTGCTCCATAAACTTCTGACCGAGACAAACACCCCGCCCATCACCACCACCATCATCACCATCATCACCACCACCACCTTATCATCGCCTCAGGCTCGCCACGGCGACATCGCCGTGCTGGATCTCGGCAACAACAGTCTGACCGAGGCGGGTGCGGCGGTGTTGACCCGCCTGCTCAGCCTCAAGCGCTCACTGAAGGACCTCAACCTCTACATGAACGACATAGGGGACATCGGGGTGGGCAAGGTGGGCGGCGGTGTATGTATGTATGTATATACGATGTCCCTTCCTCCCTTTCCCGCAGCTCCCGGCCTGACTCTCAGTGAAACACACACGGTTGTCACACCCCCTCCTTAGCCCGCCGCCCTTCCCTCTATTCCAACTATGGCAGTTGGTGCGGTTAGGACGTCGGTTGGCACTTGACCCCTTCCTTCTCCTTTCTCGGTTTCCTCCTCCTCCTCCTCCTTCTTCTTCTTCTTCTTCTTGCATCATCATACGAATTCCATCCCCGTCTTCCTCTCCCGCATATTGGGCTCCCTATCCCACGACATCACATTCCCCCCTTTACACACACAGACACGCACCCCCCCCATCCCGCATGATCATGCAGATGGCTCATGCTATTGCCGACAACAAGGGCCTCGCAGTGCTGGACCTGGGCGGTAACAACATAGGGCCCAAGGGGGTGGCGGCGCTGGCTGGGGCGCTCCGGAACCACGGGTCCCTCTCATCCCTGGAGCTGGGCTACAACCCTCTGGGCCCCGAGGGCACCAAGACGGTCACGGATCTCGCCAAGTTCAACCTGCCCAAGGTACGGGTATTTGTATGTCTTGGATGCAGTGGAACTATGGATTGTGTGTGTGGGGTGGGTGGGGGTGGGGGCGCGAAGGCGGATGTGGGTATGTATGTATGTATGGGTGGTGGGGGTGGGGGTGAGATGTGTGGACGTCTTGGGGTCGCGGTACCACCGGCGACCTCCCTACCCTCACCCCCCGCCAACTACTGGGTGGTTCGTGGTTCGTCTTTCCCCCAACTACTTCGCCATCGCGGGCCCCTACCTACCTGGTCACCAGTCACGACTGGTTAGTTCCTCGTTACATGCTTCTGTTGGTTGTATCCTAGTCTATATCCTCCTTGGCATATCAGCTTCACTCGTTCACGTGGTTTTATCTTTTCCCCCTCCCCCAACACACCCGCAGTTGACGACGCTCAAGATGGGCTGGTGCAAGGTGGCGGGGGGTGATGGCGCCCGGGCCTTATCCGACCTGCTGCTGCTGAACAGCACCCTCTCGCACCTGGATCTGAGGGGCAACTCACTCGGCAATGACGGGGCCATCCTGTTGTCGAGGGGACTGAAGGTGGGTGTGGGTGTGGGGTGTGTGGGCCGGGGAGGGCGGGCTGCTTTGGGGCCTTGCGCTGTGGACCTCGCAAATTTTGGTTATAAAGTTGATTAACATAGACATGAGTGTATTTTAGGCAGTATTATGCCGTACTGTATTGCAGTGTACGGCAGTTTGGTATACGGAGGCTGTGTGTATATTCGATGCGCGGTGGCGGAGGGGGCGGTAAGGTTTGTTTTGGAACGGGGGGGTTTCTGTGCTGAGGTGCTGCTGTTTGTGTGTGTGTGTATGTGTGTATGTATGTATACGCCTACGCGTGAATAACAGGCTTCTATGTATTCGTATTCGTAACTATGTTAACCGCGGGCGACACGGGCGTAGTGGAGCGGCCCACGTGCATCTCCCCGTCGGGCATTCCAGATATTACCTGTTGCTCTTTTTTGAAAACGCAACAAGGAGACTGTTCTTTTCGCGCTTCCTTATCGCCCGCAGGCTGCTGAGAACAGCAAATTGGTGGATCTGGATCTCGGTTACAACGAAATCAAGGACGATGGGGCGTGTGCTCTAGCACAGGTGCGCGTGCGCTTATACGTGTGCGTTGGTTTGTTAGAACTGAACCGGGGCGGATACGTACCGTGTATATCTCGTAGGTCAAGATGTATGTATGTTTGTTTGTTTGTTTGTATGTGCTGTTTCCGTGTGTGCTGCATCGCGGGCCTTGAACACGCACACACACAGACACACACACTCGTCCCCCAACTGCTCCCCTCCCTCCCATTCCCCTCCAGGCTCTCAAGGCCAATCCCGAGGGGGCCCCGAAGGAGTTGAAACTCAACTCCAACTACATCACCAAATTCGGCCAGGTGGCGCTCAGCGAGGCGGTCGATATGGTGTACGACATGGGCAAGGGCAAGATGACCACCGTACACTTTTGAGGTCTATGCCATGGAGGAAAACGGGGTGAGAGTAATATTAGAACTCTGGAGATATCCTGTAAATGGTGTTAGATGCGACGCACCCACACGCTCGTCGGGTGCGGTCACCAGCTGCTGTTTGTGTGCGTATGCAATTCTGTTGCGCGATTGCTTTTTTGCGGGGTTTGCGGTTTTGCTGCGTTTTTTTGCACGTGCGCGCGTGTTTGTGTTTTTGGGTGTGTGTTTGCGGGTTTGTGTGTTTGTCGGTGTGTGAGGAATGAAGAGTATACGACAGCACCCAGACGTAGACGAGACTTATTGACGCACATATTGACCGACCGAGTTACACCGTACGGCATACAACACACGTGCGGTGATGTCGTACCTCGGTGGGGACGTAGTACACACCACATCCATGAGGCCCATTCTCTTTTATAACCTGTTTGCGCCTCAGGCTCCCGACTTCGGAAGGTTGTCAGTTAGAGCAACAGACCTACAGATTAAGTTAGGCCTAGCAGGGATCAGATCCCTGCAAGTGAGATAGGCCACAGTCTTAGACGCGGCTACGCATTCTTAGACGCTGCTTTTGAAGAGTTTTTATGAAGGGTGGTTGCGCAATTCCGTTTTTCGTTTTTTTGCACGCTTGCTCCGCGAATGGCGCGCTCTCCAGCGAGGGCATTGCGCAGTGCCGCAGTACGGCACTACGGCAGTACTGCATGTTTGCCCGTTGACCTTGGGCAGGCAGGATGCTGCAGCTGCGTGTGAGGTTTGGGATTGCCAAGGTGTGGTTGTAGGGGGTTGTCGTAGGTATGTGTGTGTGTCTGTGTGCGTGTGCGTGTCGGGTTAAGGTTAGGGTTTTCTCTAAGGCTGCGCAGGGCTCCTCTGTTCTATCGGTGGCGGCAACCAACTGGGCATCGAAAGGCAATGAGGGCCCTCACAGGTACCTCAGGTCGGCATATATGTGTGGATATGGACGTGTGGTCGTGGACGCGGTCGGACGTGGACGAAGGTGGTAACTCGGCCTTCAGCTTTTTTGTTTGAAAGGTCCCTGTTCTGAGATTCTTCTTACACGGTCCGCAAGAGGGCCTTTTTCCTTGCAGCAGCACCGGGCGAGATAGGTGTGCCGGGAGGAAGAGGGACGGCGCCGGCTTCCTACCGCATAATATCCGTGTGTAGATTCGTGGGCGGTGATTGGGGTAGGCCGGGGTTTTGTGCGATGCTGTGGTATGATGGCGCACATTATATATTCCCTACACAGACCAACACGGACACGTACCTAACAACCCTTTCTCGCTTTGGTGCAGCACCCAAAGCTGGCGGTAATGTTAGGTAATGGTGTACTTGCGCTTGCCTTGTCTTTTGTGATGTCATATGGCCGAAAACTCCAGAATTCTAACTGTCGTCCTCTGTCGTACATTATATGGGGCAAGGGACGGTCAGCGGCACATTTGTTGCGCGATGTTGTTGGTAGTTGCCAATGCTGGTCGTCGCTTGTGGTGGTGCTGGGGGTGGTGGTGTGCTGCTGCTGCTGTGTTTCGTGTTTTAGGCATGAAAAACATATTAACTTATAACCGCTAAATGTTGGGAAATCGCGTAGCAAATAGAAACATATGCAGTTAGTACGAATAGACACAGAAAATGTGTACGAATTATTAGGACTACAAGGATATGATAAGAGGCTCATGATGCGAATTTGGATGTTTTGCTTAGGTATTGCTGTGCAGCCGCATGCCGAAGTAAAAGGAAGCGTAATTGGCGTATTGGTTTGTGAGAGCCCTGGGACCGAACTCCCTGTTAAATGGGCTTCGTCCACCCCAAAATGTTGTGCAATCTCCGTCGTTGCATTACAACAAGGGAAAGTCCTAGGGGCTTTGCGCCGGTGTGGGCTTCCTTTGTCTACGGGGGTGAGTGTCCATGAGGGGGGCGGTCTATGGCCTGTTTTTAGTCTGTTGCTGCGATCGGAGTCACGCGATGAGGCCACACGAGCTGAGCCCTGGCATCCCCTGAATCCAGGCATCCTCAGTGGTGAATAGTACTTCTTTTAGAAGGAAGGGCTTTAATTGAAAAGCTTACTACTTGCCTTTGCGAGGCCTTGAGGCGTGTCGTCGAACTGCGGGAATGGAGGTGGACGTAATGGGGGCTGTGAAGCGGATGGAGGTGAGGGGGAAGGAAAATGAAAGGATGGAGGGAGAGAGAAGATCCACTTGTCCGCCGCCGTTGCCAAATGGCGGCATGGCCCGGCGTCGCCCTACCTGTCCTCCAGCCCTTCCGAAATGGAAGGGACCAGGCAGCGTTATGGAGGGGGGTTACGACTGCCGGAGGCAAACTGAAGTGTGGCTATATTTGGAGAGGCTGTATACTTTTGCGGAGGAAAGCTGTCTTTGTGAGGGGATGAGATGTCGTAGATGATGCCGTCGACAGACGGTGGTCATTAGAATTTCAGTCTCGCCGTGCCTCTGCGCATTGATAATCTCGCGCCGTCCAACCGTCGAATGCGACACGCAGATCTGACTACTGTCGTACCTACAACTGTCGCTTGCCCGTTGTATGTAACCGTTGCCGTAACTTTTGCCGATGCCAGGGATGCTGCAGACGCTGCTGCGCACGTGCACAGATCTTTTGCACAGCCCCACATATTCCGCAGCTTAGCTGCGTACGCCGTTTAAGCTGAATCCTATCCTGTACCGGACTTTGCCGGCTCCCGGCTGTGTCGTCACAACCACCCGGGGTCTTGACATCCGACATGGATATGATCACCCCCATCCATCCAGCCACCCAGGGTCGCCTCATACCAGCGTTGAGTTATGCGTGCGAGTAGCATTGGCCATTGGCGATATGACATGCTAGATCGTAACCTTCGCAAAGGCTGCAGCAAGAGCTGCACAGCAGGCACCCGGCAGTGGGCTCGTATGCCGTTGGACACCCCGGTTAGCCCGGCAAGAGGTTACGTACGGCACCAGAGCTCAACGTCGCCTATTTATTTTAATGTCGTGGTACCACGTGGTTCACCAATTCTTTATTAATTTTTTGGTTGACATCTGGCATCACTTTCCTTTCCGGCATACTACGTCTTGCTGTCGCACTTAACAGTCTTGCTGTCTTGCTAACAGTGAGAGCAGCAGACAGACAAAGGCTCCTGATCGTTGGAGGAAGACTCATCAGCTAACTCAGAGGCTGAAAGGTGCACCGGAAAGTAGCCATAGTCAATGATACAGCGTGGAATCCCCCCTATAAAGCTGTAGCCCAAAAGGCGCTGCTAACAGGACATACACCCGATTAGGAAGCAAGGGATTTCATCTTCTTACTTGTTTAATCAGTTGCGCAACGCCAATTAAAAGCTTAATAATTGCCTATCCTGGCAATGGTTTGGTAGAAATGATGCACTAGCTTGGGCATGGCGTTTCACGTAGATCGGTTAGATTAATTTTTAATGGTACATGTTACATGTCGTACACTGACCGTTGGCCAGCAACATGTGTTCCCCCCCAACTGTTCCGTCCGGCGGGCCTACTGGGGCACCTCCTGGGTACATGTGTCGTACATGACATTTCAATAAATAAGCAGCAGTGCATGAGCCCGCTGCGTGTAAGCTCGCATCAGTATTTTACTCCATCAAGAAAACGCTTAAGATATTAATTTGAGAAACTGACTTATCGAAGGCTCCTGTCGCGGCTTTCAGCGCCCGCCAGCAATGGGCGAACATAGCCTAATTTAGCTACATGTCAGCCAATTTCACTAGCGAATTTTAACGGTAACCTCGAGCATCCTTCTCCACCCACCTATGATGACTTCTGTGAAATCAGCAATGACGTTTTCGGGATCAGCACCCACCACTACCAGCGGCGTATCCAGCGAAATCCGCCGGATCAATGACGGCGACAACGCCAATTCCCCCGATCGCTTGCAGGTCATGGTTGTAATTTTGCTTGGGTTTTATCTCATGGGGGTGCTGCATCCACCCTATTATGGTCGAGGGAATTTTATCCTGCTCTTTGTCGAGATCAGACCTGGAAACTGCCAGGAACACAATGCCGCAACCTCAATAACATAATAAATGTTGCGCATGCTTTTAGCATAAAAGTATGCGTGGAGGGATATAGGAAAAGCAGCAGATAGGAAATGCCGACGGATGCTCCTGTCCTGAGCACACGTCGTCACGACGGCCGCACTGTCCTGCTGCAGCAGGCTACTCCAGCAGCCGCGGCTATCCGCACGTGCAAAGCACGTAAGCAAACTACACGTACAACTGCACTTGGCCCGCCCACTACCACCTCTTGCCGTGGAAAGCAGTCCCTCGAAAAGAATTCGGGCAGATCTCAATATACAATAATGATGAAGAGAAATGTATGATCGCCTGCCATGTATGTATGATTGTCATCGCCTGACACGCAAAATAACAAAGGCAAGGAACCCACGTTTTGCTCATCGTACCTGCTCGTTTATGGCGGGCGCTTGGATAGAGATGCCTAAATCCGCATATTCAGTGCTGCTGTGGCGCTTACCTTAGCTCCCAGCTAAATGTGGCCCCAGCGAGCTAATATGTCGTGGCAAGGCTATGAAAACGCTAGGATGCATCCTATATGCGGTGCACCTATTCAGGATGTTTCTCGCCCGCCTTTCCATTCGTTCGGTCTTTTTTCCTGGTTTCCTTTTCCTTGCCTGGCCGTGAGCTCGCTCTTCTTTCCTGCGACCTCTATAACCACTCTCTATAGGAAAGGGTGCATACTACGCAACGCATACAGCCGCATTGAAGTCATCGTGGCGAAAGCTGTTCGAATGGTTGGAATTCTGTTACATACAGCGAATCAGAACGCATATATAAATATAGATCATCGATGCATGGTTGCATCCCGCCCACCAACTACGTATTGTGTTCCGCGCGGAAGCTAGACCAGGCGCCCGCAAAGGCCTGACGACTCTATCCATTAGAGACGCGCGTCAGCTTATTACTACTAAGTACGTGGTGACCCGCGGATGGACCCCGGTACCGACATTAAGCGAAGGTCGCCTAGCTAGCCGGATTGGCAAGCAGGGCAACCGACCCAGGCGACAAGCCACCACAGGCATCCCCAGCAGCTCAGCCAATCAGTCCATCAGAGGAGACTCCAAGTCTTAGCCCGCTTTCAGGAAGGACTCCCTGGAACCCGTCAGCCCAAAATCCGTTAAGCTGCTACCGAAGACGGGAGATCTCATTTTGCTGATGTTTATCAACAAGAGGCTCATCATCACCGCGACCGACTCAGGAGTTCGCAATACCCGCGCTGTTTGTTTGTCAAGCGCGCGCTTAGACCAACAGCCCTCCTAAACAGCAGTACCAGGTCGCATCTTAGCCTTAGGGATCGCAAGCAGGGATAATGATGTTCAGACTTTCTAGGCGCCGATCAGTTCAAATTTGAACAATGCAGCAATGGTCCACCCCAGCTAATAATGTAACCGATGCTGGACGATATGGAGACAGCCAAGTCGCACGCACACATGCGCACGCACCACTCAGGCGGCGGAACGCGCCGCGTCCGCTCGTTCGGCTCCGCGTACGGAAGTCTATCTATACACACACACACATGCGTGCATGTGTGCGTGGATTCCTAGACATCTTCCGTTTGATGACTGCGCCCTGCGCATGTAATCCGCGGTCATCACAGTAGTCTTGGTCTTCTCCTTGATTTCAGCACATCAACCTCAGCTCGCCTTCGCCCACCACGAATCTGACTTGACCTGACTTCTAGCAAACCAAGGCAAGCGCAGCAGAGCCTACGATGCACTGCGTCGAACTAGGCGATTCCGTCGAAATCGTCACAAAAAGATTGCCCCCGCCGGTGCAGGAGCGCAGAGATGACCACAGACGAAGGAGCCATTCATTCGCCAGATCGTAGCCATCGACTGCGGCAACCGCTGTAGCGTTTCGATGGGCATACGTGCCCGTGACGGAGAACGCAGGGTCCTCGTCAACAGTGCACGGATCGGGATTGATCTGGACACTGAAGGCACCGACCGCCGTGAAGATGGATGTCAGGTCCGCAACAATGCGCTCATTGGCCGCTTGGCATACTCCGACATTTGCTGGGAATTCAATGCTCTGGTCATTCACTTTGCGGTCCGCACGGACCCTGAAGTTGCAAAAGAACGGGAAGCCGGGGGTCAAAGGCGGGGACTTCGGCGGGAAACGTGGAGGCTGGCGCTTAAGGGGCGGAGGTGACTTTTTCGCGAGGGGTGAAGGAGGAGGAGGCTTGGCCCTCGGGAACGGCGGCGGTGACTTGTTGTTAGGAGGTGGAGGTGGCTTGGTCTTGGGGGGAGAAGGTGGCGATTTTCTCGGGGGTGGTGGGTTCGATATCACGTGGCCGTGGACCAAGAGACCTGCATGCATATTTCCAACCGCAGCGGTGGCACGAGCGGCAATAGTACTAGTCATGTTAGCAGCAAATAGGCGCGGCAAGGCAGGAGCCTTTTGTCCTTGGCGAGCCGCATGATATATAAAGGCAGCTCTTTGAAACCTGGAAAGTGATTTTGTTATGCCTGCGTGCCCAAATTTACCTGCACACGCAAGCAATGCTGCGAGCAGCAGAGCCCGACTTGCGGAAGGGAACCTCCGCGCCTGTAAGGCGCTGCGGGGAGTGCCCATAATCATATAGGTGCTTTTCAAAATAGCCTTAATTTGGGTCCTCAAATGCGTGCTTCTACCCAGTTAAACAATCAGGCGGGTTTGCTACAAGGTGCAGTAAAAAATCATGCATGCAAGTTTCAAAACCTTGATTCCAATATGATTTGTTTTTATAGATCGACAATAATTGTCAAGGAAAGGACCGTCTAAATATAGCAATGCTTTAGCGAGTCGTACGTGCGAATCGAAGCTGCCGTTGCACCAACACTTAGAAGAGCTTGATGCACGTTGTTGTTACACAAACCTAGGCTAATATGGCGCATCTAATGGAAAGCCTTATGGAGGTTCGCGACTCTCAGCGCCCGCCAGCAAATGGTAAATGTAGCCTGATTTGGCGGCACTAGGCTTGAACAGCACAAGGGTGCATACGCCGAAGAGTTGAGAAAGCAGAACCATAATTTATAAGAATATGTGCTTTTTAGCGAGGAAAATTTTTTGCAGGTCATGGCATCCAGTTGCAACTACTTGCAACATACGTGCATCCCGGGCAGAACGCTCACCGCTGCAAGCTACGCCCCCAGGGGTTCAGGGCATCCACTGTATGTCTCTACAACTATATATTACACAGAAGATGATTGATTGTCATCGGACCGTTGAACGCACGTCTGCTCGAAACTGCCGTGTGGTAATGTGGCGCCACTGCGTTAATCGATGGCGAAATTAAGCAATATGACCAAATTTAGACATCGTATGCTCAACCACCTAAGTTTCGATAGTATCTAACGAGTGACAGAATCCAAGCTTTCTTGGCGATACCCCACCCGGTGTGTGAAGCCGGCACACCTGCCAGTTGAGTGCCATGGAGTGCCCACCGTCTGTGTCGTTTGTCGGGCGTAAAATGCGCTTGACGATTTCCCGAGCTGAGCTTAGATTTCAAACGTTCACCCTGGCCGCAATGCCTATCCCGCGAGAGCTTCACTACCGACATGTCGCGTTACATCGCAAGAGTGTAAAATCTCATGGTTACTGTTATAAATACCGCTCCGGCGCGGGCAAATCGCGAAATCATGGGAGCATGTTGCAACACCGGGAACTCGCCGCTACGCGAAGATTTATGCAGCAGCATAAGCTCTACCCGTTGTGTTGCTCCGAAATGTGGAAATTTATAAAAGGCCCGCCGATTGTTCATTTTAAAGTTTAACCCTGGCTTGTCCCTGCCCATCGCGATGACTCCGTCCACACCCTAGGCGCCATGTAATTTCAATAAAAAACAACGGTGACTGCAGCGCGTTCCGTTGGTCATCCAACTTGGAGATGTACATGGAAAATAGCCAAGCTTAGGGGGATCGCGTTTTCGGCGGGTGTAGCTGGTGGGCTTTGTGTGATCGGACCATCGACACATGCAGTTTCGTTTATGTTGCTGGGCTCTGGAGGCAAACAGAGCACGAAGGGGCAAGTACCATGTCCCCAGGGGGCAGCGGTTTTGCCGCTGTTGTGGTACTAATAGCCGAATCGAGGATGAAAACACGTGTTAATGGAATGCCCAGCCTATATTGATATTCGTGCTGAAGAGGGATTCGATCATCAGAGCATGTTGGAGGGCATGAAATGGGAACCAGTACGTCTGGCGAGGATGTTGGAACGTATATGGGCTCACCAAAACTCAGTTATCCCCTCTGGACGCCAGTCTGGGCTGATGTGCGGTGTTTCCTGTTCTCCGTGGCTTTTAGGCGTTAAAGTATTGCCCTTGGGCCTTCGGCTCGTATGGGTAGTTTTACAGGTATGGGGTCACGCACCCCCAACCATGTAACACACACACGCACATGCATGACCCAAAGCCGCTACGTCAATCACCAAAAATGGCAAATCCCCGCCCGGGGCGCTCTCACCCTAAGCGAGCAGCCTGATTCACGCTGCCGCTTTGTGTGACCCTTTGTATACATTATACTTGGGTGTCAGCTTTCCATCGCTTCCCCTCTCCATGAATACATGAGTGGCAGGGTGGTAGGTGTCGAAACGAATCGCTCCGCAAACACAAATCTGTTGGCTGCCAGGACGACTGTAAACGGGTTCCTGCAGTGATTGCACTGAGGGGATGGGGGCCGACCTCATCTTGGTGAGGAAGGCCCCGGGTGCACCTGTAACACCGACCTGGAAAGAAGGTCCCTAGTTGAGCTGCGCGCTTTGGTGAAGGTGCTCGAAATGCGTTCAATTTTGACTATTGTTGTCCTAATATATAATAATTCCACGCACCGGTTCATCCTTGGTTAAAAACCCTTGGCATGGTTATGATGAGCCGTGGAAAGGAAAGGACGGTTGTGCATGCATGTTTGCGTGTGCCTGTACTCCGGCTCGAATCCGAGAAGCGATATAGACTATGAACGTGCTGACAAGTCTGGTATCTATCGTGTTAAATCTATGACCTGCTCAACTATCCTGCCTGGGCAGATGAATGTTTTACCAATCAGATTTAATGAGAGTGTCTTAATAAGCTGGGAAGCATCCTACATTCAGGCCTCCAACAAGCTTGGGCTGCAAGCAAGACCATCACATCCAATTTAAATATTTTCGTTGTGGTTTGATGCTACGTAATGTGGCCATCAACCGCCGACCTGGCCCCATCCCACACAATATATATTATTGAGCGGCCGGCTGATTATGGCATAATATGCATTACTTGATGCTCCTTTTGTGCGATCTGCATGCATAGGTCCTGGTGTCCATGTTGGGAATGGGTGGACAATAAGGGGGAATCCATAGGTGAGTGGGGGTGAATAATAATAGGGGGCTTCCTGGGTTGATCAGCAGCTAGCTATAGATATCTTCCCAACAGGTGATGCTTACGTATCTTTTTAGTAACAGTTGGGCCCCAACCTGGTGGCGTGTCACTCGTCCAACAGTTCCAAATACAGTATCCATACAAGTGCAGATGGGTCTATGAAAGCCTGGGGGCCCAAGGGCCCTTCAGGTTAGTTGCATCGTCGTTGGGCGGCTTTACATCGTCCTCACGCACAATGCAAAATCAAATATGGTGCCTTTGCAGGCGTCCGGCCTGAAGGCATTGCATGGACGACGGTGCACGGGACTCTGATGATGGACAAGCCTCAACAAGCTAGTCGTGCACTTTGAGCCCAATAACCGCCAAACTGCTCAATTGTAACGGCATAACGGCCTGGTAACCAGTTTGTTGAGATTGCATATGTGTGAATTCCATTGGGTAGTACAGCACCAGAATGACATCATCGGCCAACGACCGGAAACATGGAGAGCATTAATCTGTAACAGGAATAGTGTGGTTGGGTCGCCGACCATACATCGTTGCTGACCGTCTACGTCACGTTCTAACTTCCCTTCCTCCCTTCTTCGCTGCCCACCCTTCCTTACTCCCCACCACTCCTTCCTTCGACTATCCACCAAGGAATAAAAAAAACACTGTGCAGCCTTACCGGTGCTGTCATCCTAAGTTGACACGAATTCCCGACACCCTCGCATCCTCCTATCTAATCGCTTCCGTTGAACTCCACCACACGTGTACACGGAAATGCCGTCGTCTGTCCGCTGTCTCATCATGGTTGCGGGCGTATGTGCGCGTCAGCCATACATGCAACCCAAGTGGGAAACCCTGGATGAAATGCTTCTCCTGCCTCAAACCACGCTTAGGCGTCTCCCGTGCAAACCCGCCAGGTCGTAGTAGCTATAGCCCTTGCATCTTCTAATACTCACACGCACTAGCAGACGCTTACCTGCTGCATACACTTCTTCCTAAACCGATTCATCAAACTTCTCCTCACCATCATCAGCAAGAAACGCAACGAAAGCCAATCTCTTCATTCCGCGATGTGCCATCCCGCCCCGCCCTCCCCCCCTAAGCAGTACATGCAAACACACACCATGTTCAGCTAAGCAGCAAACAGCCATATACGTGCCAACGCCAGCCAATCCATGCCAGCACGTAACGACAACGGGCGCCTAGGAATGACGTGGTGAGAATGTGGTAGCTACGCACGCAAGCGCGGTAGCGTTACTCTCAGCTATCACCCAACGATCTCACGACGAAATAGCTGAAAATGCCGATCCGGCCAGTAGCCCTGCCGCGCCCCCAAGCATTCCCACCCTCCCACCTGCAATGTCCTCCCCCCAACAAGCAAAGCTGCAACGCCTACCTTGCTAGTGACCTAACTACATGCACATACATACTGATATACAAAGAGGGCAAAAGTACCTACCACTCTGCCACGCATCAGCTCGGCTGCATCCTGGTTGAATTCGACAAGTAGCACCTACACTAGCATTTCTTTGCACATCGAGGAGAGGCCGGGGTGTCTCCCACGAGTATTCCATTCCTCCAACGATGCCTACTCACCAACTATCATTCAACGCATTCAACTATCATGCAAAGTAACAAGGCACGAAATGAAACATGGCCAAATCAATGATGTTGCACGACATCAACCAACGAAGGGATGTGTGGAGTATGTAGCAGCCAGTGTGAGTCATATTGGGTCAGGCAGTCTTCCGTACTGTTGACACCCAGCAGCTGCAGGCGCACGTGCGCGTGTTGAGACATATGCACCGTGCATGCCGCGCTCATGCACAGCATAGCATGCATGTATGCTTCTTTTCCCCGCTACCGTCATCTAGCAAATGCTACGCACGGCCTCCACCGCCCTTTAAGAACGGATGTGTCCACATGCACACAGACACACGCAAACGTATGTTTACCACCCGCACACCCGCATGCGAAGGACCGCATTCACCGGTGCCTTACATGCCAGGTAGGCCGCCCCGACTAAGCGGCCGCGGCGCTGCAGCAGTGATAGTAGCGCAGCGTGCAAACCAAAACATTAAAAAAATAGCTAGCCAGTAAAAAGATCCAAAGAACATCGCAGAACATTTTCACCATGGGCAAGTAAAGCTGTTCTCATAGCTCGCAATATTCCGATCAAGCAGGCAGAGGTTTCTGTCCTCGATGGTGCCCTTGAAGGTGTACTTGATACCCACTTTCCCCGGCGTACACCCGCCCACAGCGTCCAGCGCAGCCTGTGACCAGCTCCGAACCGCCAACTCCCACATGTCCGACCACCAGGGTGCATAGAAATCAAACGGAAGGGGCGCAGAGGTGCAGACCCGCAGAAAGTAGGGGCCCGATGAAGGACACGCTGCACTTGAACTGATGACTGCCCCGGTGATGAAGTTGGAGAGGTGTTGACAAGCGCCAGGACTGAGATAAACGTCTTTCCCTTTGCTGAGAACGCCGGCAAAAGATCCAGTTAACGTGACGCAGATTTCGCATTCCGGCGGAGGAGGCGGTGGGGGAGATCGNCGGGCGGCCGGTTTGGGGGGCGGCGGTGGGGGTGGAGGCGGTGGGGGAGGCGGTGGGGGTGGAGGCGGGCTGGGAGGCGGGGGTGGTGGGGGAGACGGGGCTTGTGGCGGCGCCGACGGCGGATCATCCTTACTCAGCAGCAGACGGATTCTGCGGGGCGTAGCCTCCGCTCGGGAAATGAAAACTGTGGCAGGGACATATAACAATTGGGCAAATACATCCGCACAGGTCAAACGTTTCATTTGTGTTGTTTTTGAGTAGCCTTGTGCAAGTCTCAGTAGGTCGAAGCTGCTGGACGTGTCCATTCATAAATAATTTTTAAGCGAGAGAATAATAAAACGAGTCGTATTTATCGAAAGCAAACAATATGCTGAAGTGCGACTTTAGTTTTGCGACCCTTCGCGTAACCATTAACCGAAAATAACACGGCACCAGCTAACCTGGCTTTCGGTGCATTTTGAGAGTTATCTAATTATGTTTGCGTTCCCAACTCTAACCAAATTGCCTTACCTCCAAAAGCCAGTAGCCCTGCAAACAGTAACGTCCGGCTGTTCACCAACCGAAAGGCATTCGGTGGATTCATGGATTTGGGACAAGAATTTAGCATATGTTTGATTGATGCTAAGCTCAGGCTGCTGTTCAATACTAGAAAGGCTTAAGCCTGTCGTGATTCGCTCGGGGGAAGCGAACAGGAACGAAGGCACGACTAATCTGCCGCAAATTAAAACGACACTAGAAAGAGCAAACGGGAGAGCTCGTTATACAAAAGGGGTATATACATTACCACACTGAACGGTGCGATTAAATTTCAATTTCAGCTTTGGCTGAAACATGTCCCGTCGTACGGTCGTTGTACGTAGCTAGGTAGCAGGTAAAGCACGAAGAGCGGGAACATCTGATGTTGTACACTCGTTTGACAAGAACCACTAAAGCATTAGCACCAGCAAGCTCTCATGTTCTTGTACGCTTTCGATGAATCATTACGGACCTAGCTGACTGCATCGCAAATCGAACTTCGCCTTTATCTATTAGTAGCAATCCGACCTGACAAACACCTAAAAAAGAAGTCGCTCTTTCATTGCATAGTTTCCAACATTAAATGTGGTTGTAGGTATTAGTAACTAAATTAGTATTAACTACATTCTTGAACTGTTCAAGAATGTTGCGGAATGCAGACCGCTGCCGCTTAATGATTCACCCTTAACTACTCTTAGGCGTCATCGCAAGGCGACGCCGCCTATAGGAAGCATATAGGAGACGGACCAACAGAGCGAGCTGCCAGCAGCTGATTATGGCGCACCGCCAGAAGACCTCGTTCTATCATTAGGTGCTGTCAGCTAGTCTGCTGTTGTTGTTAGCTCTGAGCACGCATCAGCAGAGGCTTCGAGGCAGCTTGCCTGGGAAGGGCTGGGAAGGGAAGGGAATTACATGCATATATGCGTAAAAATAACCGCCGTAACGACGTTGTATGTCACGTCCGCACAAGACAAAAGGACAAGATGAGCATCATGGAAAAATCTTAAGAGCAAAAAAATAATAAAAAGGTCGCGTGAAGGTGATGAGCTAGAGGGTGTTGCTGTGTGAAGGTTGCCTTTTATGCATGCGTGTGTGTACCTGCCTAGGCCTGCTGCATTCAAATGTGAGAACAAAGCGCAGGGCATGGCCGAAACAACGCACGCAATTTTGATATTATGTACATGTCGTGTAACTAATAGCTAAATGATGAGGTGAAAAAATGATGGCTAGGCATGTTAATAAAGACACAGCTGTCGTCCGCGACCACATACATAGAATCTGAGTACGCCGTACAAGCCGTCTCCTGGCCAATGCCGCCTGCTGGCTCCTCACGGTCTATCTGGCGCAGTGCAGATGAACCCTGATGGTGCAGATGAACTCTGATGTTGCTGATACATATATATACAAGCTTAGCAGCAAGCATGCGCGCACGCTCGTGCTGCATGCCGTGCTGCATGCGCACTCGGCAGCAAGCACTGCACGCACACACGTCGCCACACACACACACACACGTCGCCACACACATACACATACACATACACATACACATACACATACACATACACATACACATACACATACACATACACATACACATACACATACACATACACATACACATACACATACACATACACATACACATACACATACACATACACATACACATACACATACACATACACATACACATACACATACACATACACATACACATACACATACACATACACATACACATACACATACACATACACATACACATACACATACACATACACATACACATACACATACACATACACATACACACACATACACACACATACACACACATACACACACATACACACACATACACACACACACACATACATCGCCATGGAAGCTAATAACAGTCCTATACCAGCAGCATATACAAATACACAATAACTTCAGCAAGCTTCATCATTAAGAACCTAGTACGTATGTGCTCCAACTATCTCACGTACTCTACTTTAGCTTCTACTCCGTAAATCAGTCGTCCCCAGCAGGAAGCTTCCCTAAGTCCGTTGGTTAGTGTGGTGGCTGGCGCACCTGCCGACACCTCTGCTCCGAAACATCAAGAACGTCCTGCCTACGAATGCATGCTGCTGATGCTGCTGATGCTGATGCTGCTGCATGGCGGTGCTGCTGTATTGTATGCATCAACCATCCGGCGCATCAACCGCGTCCCAACCCTGACCAGGGGGCCCGAGCGGCCGTGTAGATATATATGCGCTCTAAAAGGCGGACTGCTTTGCACTAAGTAATGTTGCTGAAATCCTTGACAGCCATTACCTCTGCATGCACGTGTAAGCGCTTGCCAAGCTACTACTGTCGTTGCAACGTAGGTACTAAAAACTACTACTACTACTGTTGTAGTACTGCACAGTGCAGCAGTGCAGTTGGCATGCGCGTATGCATAGGTGATGCCGCCATTAATGTTACGCATGCATCAATCCATACATACAAAGCAAGCTTACGATGCTAGATGCGCACAAGTTCATATACGACGACCGTTAATGGTTATTTGGTGAAATGTTGCGGCACGGCGGAATTTGAACTCGTGTCCGATGGATGGACCATATCCCATCTACTAAGTACGACAAACTAGAACGTCTAACTGTCCATATTCTCCGTGCATACGAAGTCCTAAACAAGCCAGCAGCGGCACCAGCTCTAGGACTGCTGCCCACTCGCACACGTGACTGCTTCGTGACAACTGCGCACGCGCCAAATGTTATATATAGGTGTATAACACGCGCGCGCACACACCAACACCAACACACACACACCAACACACACCAACACCAACACACACCAACACCAACACACACACACCAACACACACACACCAACACACACACACCAACACACACACACACACACACACACACACCAACACACACACACACACACCAACACACACCAACACACACACACCAACACACACACACACACCAACACACACACACACCAACACACACACACACACACACACCAACACACACACGCACATACACACATTGGTGAAGCATTAGTTGCGAGGTCTACCTAAGGCGAATTCTTCTTGATTGCTTGCCTGGGTGCCGAAATGCAGCACCCATCCAGCAACCAGCACGGAGGCGAGCGGGGCTAGATGACTCGACTCGGCTGGAGTAGACTACTGTGGATATACATACATACATACATACATACGCAGCAGGTTAGGAATTAAGTTTTAAGTTCATCAATGTCCCCCGGGTAGCAGTAGAGAGTGATGTCGAATGCTCTGGACGAGGTAGAATTGCCCCAAATGCAGGCCTGGTCAACAATGTTTGCGCTGAACTCGAAGCGGTACCAGCCAGGCATCAGCGCCGTGCAGGTGCCGAAGGCGGCCGCCAATATCTCGTTCCATTTTTGAGCTGCAGTCCAAAGCGCAGTCTCGGAAGGTAGCTTGTAAGACTGGGACCATTCCACAGAGACACAGGCCTTGATGGCGTTGAAGCTCAAGGGAGGTCGCGGACACTCGCTGGCGACGTGGACACGCCGACCGCCGACCGCCGTCAGGAGGGTCACCAACGTGGCGGCAGCTCGTTCCGATGGGAAGGTGCACGCATCAGCACTCAAGGATAGCGACGTGGTGTTGCCAGCGAGGCGAAAGGCCCAGATGGACAGCTCCACGCAGACGTCGCAAACGTACGACGGCTGCGGCGGCGATGGTGGTCTTGGCGGCGGCGGCTGCGGCGGCGATGGTGTTCGTGGCGACGGCGGCGGCGGCGGCGATGGTGCTCGTGGCGACGGCGGCGGCGACGGCAATGGTGTTCGTGGCGACGGCGGCGGCGGTGGCGATGGTGCTCGTGGCGACGGCGGCGGCGGCGGCGATGGTGCTCGTGGCGACGGCGGCTGCGGCTGCGGCTGCGGCTGGAGTGCCTTCCGCGCTGGCTGCATTAGTAGCGAAGGCGGCGGCTTGGTTGGTGGTCGCGGCGATGGAGGGAGAGGTTTAGTTGGCGACTTTGTTGGCGAGCGTGCGAGTGGGCTACTTGGGGGTCGCGATGTCGGGGCAGGTGGCTTGTTTGTTGGCGGTCGCAGTGGTGGTGGGTGCAGCAAGTCGTTAGGTGGGCGCGGTGACGGTGACGGTGACGGTGACGGTGACGGTGACGGTGACGGTGACGGTGACGGTGACGGTGACGGTGACGGTGACGGCGACGGTGACGGTGACGGTGACGGTGACGGTGACGGTGACGGTGACGGCGACGGTGACGGCGACGGTGACGGTGACGGTGACGGTGACGGTGACGGTGACGGTGACGGCGACGGCGACGGTGACGGTGACGGTGACGGCTTGTTCGGCGGCTGAGGCCACAGGCTAGCGGGCGGGTTGCTTGTTGACGGTGGTGACGATGGTGCAGCTTCACCAACAGGCAGAGCTGCGCGCGGATACAAGGGAATGTGTGTGCGTGTATACGGTGTGCGTGTATATCTGTAGCTGTGTAGTACGGCGGCGCAGGATAGGCGAACGTGGGTGGGTGCGCATATGTATGTATGCCCACTGGCCTTTCTGGACAACGCTGGACTGACGCGAGCAGGGACGCGAGCAAGCAGCAGCCGAGAGTATGACGAGTTCTACTCGCGTTCTATATGGCAGCTGGCGGCACTTGAAAATTTATTTAAATATTAATCGGTTTCACCTTCAGGATGAAGCCAGAGCAATTTCAAGTGCTCTGGCTACCTTAGACGCCTGTGAGTCAACTATTCTCCCGACACCTGAGCAGCAACAGCGCTCTGGACCCAATCTCTATATCTTTACGTTTTTTACAGTGGTGGTAGTCAGGCGAGTCCAGGGCCCTAGCTACACATTGCTCCAGGGATGCCTTAGGGTTTGTGTCCTTAAGGGACCGCCTGCCGCACGGCCGGCGGAGGGAACTTCCCCGAAGCTCATTTCCCCTCGTCCTCGCGAATCTATTTATTACTCCCCTTTCTAAGAACCCACGCACGTACAAAACATAACGACGTATGCGACATAACAAATTGATAGAGCCGTCTGCATAGACCTCCTAAACAGCGGTGTCGCGTACACGCGCACATCAGCAAAATAACGAATTGCTTCAGTTCCCTTGGTTCTCAACAGCTCTCCGGCCCCACGTTAGTTAGTCACCTATGTATCGCTAACCTGCAAGCTCCATTATTAATTCCGCCATCAGCAGTAGTAGTAGTACTAGTACTAGCAGGACGCCTGCTGCGCGGCGCGTTTTCCACCGCACTGGAAGCCCCGCTGGCGGCATGGCAGCATCAATGATATTGCGTGCTCCGGATGATATTTTACGAGCAGGCTTTTGTTGTCACTCAACTAAAGCTCTACCTCTGTTGGGACTACTCTTAGTATTACAACGAAAAGTGTGGGGAACGGAACTTTATTTACACTCATATATAGTTCTATTCGCGGATAGGGCAACGACGGCTAGTTAGGGCGAAGCGGAGCTGTTGTGTGGATGCGCGACACATAAAAATAATAAGTAATAAAAAAATCCTTTATATGATGTAATATCTTTCGTTCCTTCGTCAGAAGCTACGTACACGGTTAATTGTTTTCAACAATAATGGCAAGTTAAGAGGTCGCGGTTGACGGCGGCCGCGGCCGGCCTTCCCGGTAGCGACAGATCACAAACTAGACACTGACGACAACTGTCAGGCATGGCCTGCCGTAATTTTTACGTTACATACGCGCCACGCAGTTGGGGAGTGGCGCGCTGGAACGGACCGACGTATGCACGTCGTATGGGGAACGAAAGGCAGCAGCAGCAGCAGCAGCAGCAGCAGCAGCAGTTCGGCAGGGCGCACGAGTCGTCAGGTGGTTGGATCCTGCCTCTGACGATGTAGGTGACGTTCTCGTCCATACGTATGTCTGTTTGCCTCCTTCGTGGTGGATTAATCAATCGGTTCTTCTTCTCACCGAAAAATTATAAACATATACAAATATCAATATCAATATATATATAACTATATATTATATATATGACGTGTAATAACAAAAATGATAGTAATAAGGCCCGGCCTACAACTTAACAGAGGCAACCGAGCGAGGGCTGGACGACGGATGACGGTATGTATGTATGTATGTATGTATGTATGTAGTGCGGTTGTTGTATAATAACTCAGTTGAGTACAATGATTGCCAGCTGCACGGCAGTTGCTATACACATCCGCTTGCAGTGCAAGTAATCTTCATCATTCCATCATGCCATGCATACATTCCGTCGCTCTATCTGCCAGACGGTTTTCAACGTCATAAGGAATTCATTACTCTATGGACTAGTAGTAGTAGGTAGTGGTGCAGTGACGGCGCCCTTAAGGCCTTCCGACGCGTGTTAGGTGGTTATAATTACAATGGAAAATCCTCGCGTCAGTAACAACAACTCAAGAGTCGTTAACAAACGACCGGACGGGGCAAAATGTTTTTATTTTATAGACACCGAAGGAATCCGCCCCTGGCTGGAGCTGCTGTTGCAGCAGGATTATTGACTCATGCATACATATAACAGCGAGCGACGTCGGAAACTTGCACTCGGGGAATGCGGCTGCTGGCGTTGTGACGTGTGCGCGGACGGAAGCTTGGTTGTCATTAATGGAACGACTTGCTAGCTAGCTCTGCTGACGACATGCAAAGCATAATATATTAGCTGGCGCCCAGCATCCAGCAGCCAAGTCGTCGTTCGGATCTCCTCGAGCTTGCTATAGCTAGGGCGAGGCGATGCTAGACCATTCGTATAGCTAGGCAGTATGTGAAGTACACGTTTACGAAAGCGATGAGGTTGGAAAGTAGGCAATTAAGTACCGGGCGGTACTTGACTCTCTATTACCGGTACTTTACCTGCAGGTAAAGTTAGCAGCTGCTAACAAGACTGTTGAATGTTGCAACGTCTCGATTGCAGTTGGGGTAACTTCGGCGGGCAGCTGCTGCGGCTGCTGCAGCTGCCGGTTGGCTACCGCTGATTCACCATATGCATGACGAGGACACTCCGCCGTCGGTTTATGAGCATGACGACATTCGTCAGTTTGCAAAGCGCAAGCGCGCGCAACTGTAGAATTCGCCTGGAGCAGCCGCGTCTAGGTGCAGATTGCAAGGTATGCAGGAATGATTATATATGCTTACTGCAACCGACGTTGTGCTCGCTCGTCCTATGCATTGCTCAGCAGCCGATATTGCCGCCTTCTGCGCACTCTGCCACGCAGCTTTCTTTTCCCGTTTCATCTATAATCGCATTAATTTGCCCATCTTATGACAGTTTCTTGTGCATTTGGGGTTCGCATAGAGCTGTACAGCATATCGAGATGTACAACAATGATTTCGGCGGTTTCCGACGAGCAGCGCAGCACATGATTCCACTCAAAGGCATGCAGAGCGCCACGCGCGCCTCCTAAAATTGCAGATGCATGGCCTAGATGCTAGATATCAAACTGAGTTTTATCAGAAACTGCGACGACGAACTTCGGGACTGATGAAATTTTGTTTGTTGCTCTGCTGGTCTCGCCATGTATCGCTTCACATTACATGTATATTCCTTCAAACGACTTCTTTACACCAAATGCAACAGCAACGGTCCGGTCTAGCCAACGGTGCAAACCAAGTGCTTGAATGTAAATGCTCGTCGCTCCGTACCGGACTAGCGTGAAGTGGGCCTTTGCGTCCAGCCTTACACCCGATCCCAATGTTTAATCAGGCCACACCACCTCCCAGCCACACCGCCTTGCGGCTCGTCTGCAAGTCTCAGCCTTGTCATGTCTCCGGGCTTCCTTGGATCCTCGCTTTCGCTATCTTCCCTGTCGTACTCTCGCGCCTAGTCGGCCCTGCCTTACCTCAAAATGAACACTACCTCGGTCGCGTAACTCGGCCTGAAAGGGGTGAGGATGTGCGGCAAACGCCTCCGCGCTTTTATGGGTAACGTTGCCAGCCTAGCTCTCCCCAGCGCGGCCAAACCTGATGATCGAGACACAGTCCGGCTTCTCCTCGGCAACCTTGTGCACTACTCGCCCGTCTGGTCGAAACGGGGTTTAAGGTACAGAACGTCCTGGCGGCTCCACTTTCTCCAGTCTTGGGTGAAGGCGTCCACTGCTAGGGCGTGGGGCCTCCAATAGCGATGCAAAGAAGCACCCCTGGTACTTTTGTGGAGAATTCGTCTGCAAAATGACGACCGTGGCCCGCATCCTTTCAGGCATGTCTCCGCCCACAGGCTTGTGAACCGCGTCGTCTAAGCACCCCTGCGAGCTGTCTCCGAACTTGGAGAGTATATCCGCGTATTGCTGTTGCTGTTCCGAGCG